GCCGCTCGGCAGGCCCGGGCGGTCCGGGCGCCGCGGCGCGGAGCTGCGCTGGGCTGGGCGCCGGCGCCGCGCGCTGCTGCCCGGTCGTCCCTGGTTACTGGGCTCCGCGGCACATGCTCGCTGCTGCGCTCCCGTCGCCGCCGCCCCTGCGCTCCCCGCCTCCCGCCTCCCGCCCGCACCGGCGCGCCAGGGGTGGACCCGGAGCCGCCACTCAGCGCCCGGCGCCACCTCCCGCCCCGCACCCGCCCGGCCGGGCCTCCGCTCGCAGAAGCGGGGCCGCGAGGCGCGGGCCAGGCCCGCCGGAGGGGCGCCCCCTCTCCGCATCGCGTCCGGGGCGGGGAGGTCACCCCCACCACCCCCTCCTCGGAGCGGTCCCCGGCGGTCCAGCCCCCTCCGCGGCGAGCGGGACGGGGAGGGCCCGGAAGATCTGATGTGCATGAGGCCAAGTCCCTGCCCGGTGAAATTCATTCATTCGACATAGATTTGCCGGGCGCTGGGACACGGCGCCGTCCCAGCCCTCACAGGGCGGGCACTGCTGGGCAGGATGTCACATGTGGCGGTGGGGGACACCTACCCGGGGCCCGGGGGAAGGTGATCTCCAAGCCCAGGCTGAGGAAGGCGGGGGTTGGGAAAGTGTTGGGGCCCAGACACCCTGGAGGAGGCAAGGAGGCCTGAACGCCGGAGGGAGAGCTCCCTTCCAGCAGCAGGGCCCCAGCGCAGGCAGCTGGGACGGTCGGAGCCAGAGAGAAGGGCGAAGGGCAGTGGGGCCAGGGCCGTGCACCCCCTCTGCCCAAGGGCTGGGCCTCTGCCCACCAGCGCCCATGAAGGGATTTCCGCAGGAGAGTGAGGGTTACATCTGCCTTCTCGGTTTCTCTGAGTGGAGGCCAGGATGGACTCTGTCCATGCAGCGTCCACCTGGATGGACGGAGGGAAGTGGATTGGCCTGGGGAGTCTAGAGAAAGAGTCCAGGGTGGCCTTCCCTGGCCACCCCATCTAAAATGTCAGCGCATTGTGAGACCTTTCCTGTCGTCCTTCCCAGCCAGATTTTTCTCTCCTAGGCTCTGTCACAAGCTTGACCTAGGTTTTATTCCCTTGGTTTTGCTGTCTCCACTGGAGCACACTCTCCCCGAGGACAGGGGTATCACCAGCACCTAAAAGGCCGCGTGAGGTTCAGTAGCCACTCAGCAAACCTCTGTGAATAAGCGAGGGACTGGAACAGGAATGACACCCATCCTGGGAGTCCTGGTGGGGGAGCAGGGGAGGGTGAGGCAGCCCTCCCTCTGGACCAGCAGGGGTGAGGCGGTGGGCAGGGTCTCTTTTTCTTCACTTTGCACGGTGGTCAGACCTCAGGAGGCCCAGGCAACTCAGAGGAACTCTGGCCAGGGCTCTCCTATCCCCAAACATACCCTCTTCCTTCCAGCTTTCCCCCGAAGGCTTTGCCAGGCCGAGCCCCGGGCCCCAGGCTATTTCAGATGGGGGCATACTTGCTGGCCCATTCTGTAGGGATGTGGGGAGGGCATGGGTCCCAAGGACTTGGGCTGGGCCCACAGCTTGGGGGTCTGGTTTAGACTCGGGAGCAGGATGCCCCAACCTTGAGGACCAACTCAGAATGGACACCAGTGAAGGACCCGCAGTGAGGGGCTCAGAGTTGACCAGACTGGCCCGAGCATCCTGCCTGGGAGGAGAAAGCCAGCATGGGGACCAGGACCCAGCCGGATGACAGTGACAGCTTGGGACCAGCCAGCTCCTCTTTCTTGACCTGGCTTTCAGCCTAAAGGGTCCCCACCCACATCAGCAGAAAATGCCTAAGCCGGAGCCACCTGGGACAAAGGGCTCAATTCATTCTCTGATGTCCTGGTCTCTCTCCAAGAGCAGAGGTCTGTTCCTTCTGCCACAGGACTTTGGGTTTTGAGCGAAAAAAAATGTGCAGCCCATCTTCGGGTTGGGGTGTCACGGCCAGATTCACAGGTTACAAGGATCCTCCTGGCTGCTGTGCGACTTGGAGGGCGGGGCAAAGGGCAGGGACGTAGAGAAGCCTGGAGTGGCAGCAGGTTGGATTGCGGTGGGGGTGGTGCGGAAGGAGAGGGGAAGGCAGGAGAGTGTATCCTGGGGTCATGCGGCTCCCTGGTGCAGCCTGGAGCACCGGATGGAGGGACTCATTTCTCAAGGTGGGCTCACCTGAGGAGGACCAGGTTTGGAGAAGGGTCGCAGTTCAGATGTCGGATCTGAGATGTCTGTGACACATCAAAGGCAGGATGTCAAGTTCTATGTTCAGAAAAAAAGCAAGTTATATCAGTCATCAGTAAAGGTGAGAGTATATATCTTTTTTTTTTTTTTTTGAGACAGTCTGGCTCTGTTGCCCGAGCTAGAGTGCTGTGGCATCAGCCTAGCTCACTGCAGCCTCAAACTCCTGGGCTCAAGCGATCCTCCTGCCTCAGCCTCCCCAGGAGCTGGGACTACAAGCATGCGCCACCATGCCCAGCTAATTTTTCCTGTTTTTAGTTGCCTGGCTAATTTTTGTTTTCTATTTTTAGTAGAGACGGGGGTCTCGCTCTTGCTCAGGCTGGTCTCGAACTCCTGACCTCAAGCGATCCTCCCGCCTCGGCTTCCCGGAGTGCCATGCCTATTAGTCATTTTTATTTTCTTCTCTCATCTGCATTTTTATTGAGATATCTAATAATTCACATAAAATCCATCAGTCAGCAGTTTTAGTGTATTCGCTATGATGCACAGCCATTACCACAATCTAATTCAAGAACATCCTCTGTATTTTATTCAGACTGTTTTCTACAATTAGACACATGCCTTGTGAATGCAGACAGCCCGAGGGACAGGCCTTCCAGAATCACCGAGACGCCTTGGGAGCTTGTGCTGACCCAGATCCCCAGGCCCCGCTGCAGGTGAGCTGAGTTTAAGGACGCTGCGGCCGCCTGGCCGTCTGCATTCCACTCAGCCTCCAGCCCTCCCCTCGCCTTCCAGCGGAGTCCCTTCTCTTGTTTTGTAAGCTCCCCCAAAGAGTGACCCCAGAAGCTTGCTCAGTAGTTATTCCAGAAAGCCCATGGAGGAAAAACTACACACACAGTGGGGGCAGAGTCTGGCTAAGTGTTCCCCGAAATCGCTGCACCCTGAGCTGCAATTACCTCCCCGGCCAGATGAACAGCCTGGCCCTTCCCTCTGCCGAGGCTTAGTCCGTGCGCCCATCCAGTCCCTACTGGTGCGTCCGTTTGGGTGTCCCATAGGCACCTCACAGCCAACAGCCCGAGACGTGACTCTTCACAGTCCCCCCACCAAAGAATCCTTCCCCTAACAAACGGCCCCTCCCGAACCAAAGGCTCCAGCCAGAAGTCTGACGCTTCCCGGGGAAGACCCGTCCTCTGTCTCCGATCAACCACATCTCGTCCGGGGGTTTCATTCCCTAAATATCCCCACCATCGCCTCTCGAGGCTCGACCACTGACCCCCGCAAGAGCCACCTACGGGAGTCTTCCGCGATTCTCTCTTGCGCCTTCTCGGATCCTCATAGCACAGCTAGGGGAGAGTTTCCAGTGCAAGCCCCCCGTAAGGATCTCCAGCTATGCTTCTCTCTGCTCTCAGGAGGAGGCCTGTGTCAAGGGCCACGAACAGCCCTGTGAGGTAGGGGTAGCCCAGGGCACCTCCACCCCCACTTACAGCTGAGGAAACCGAGGCCCAGAGGCCACATGCCCATCCCCAGGGCCCGCAGCCAGGGCTGGCACTCAGACTCCTGGCACAGGGGCCTTTCCAGAGAAAGTCTAATTAAATGATTTCTTTTTTCCTTCGTCAATAATAATTTTTCATATATACATATATATATATATTTTTTTTTTTTTAAGAGACGAGGTCTCACTCTGTCACCCAGGCTGGAGTGCAGTGGCATAATCACAGCTCACTGCAACCTCAAATTCCTGGCCTCAAGTAATCCTCCCACCTGGGCCTCCTCCCAAAGTCCTGGGATTACAGGTGTGAGCCACCGTGTCTGGCCTGTATTTTCATTTTGATTACATATTTAACTGAGAATGTTTGGGATATAATGAGTTAAAT